CCCCTCCTTCTCCAGTGACCCTGGGGTCTGCAGAGTTCTTTCTCACATTTTGCTCTATTTGTCTGCAAAATCTCATCTTCCTCTTTTTTTGTTTTTGTTTTTTCCGTTCTCAAACACATTATCCCAGAGGCACTACCACTGTTGCTGATGGGCTCACCCTTGGCCAGTGGCAGGGGGATCTTGGAGGTGGCTGATACTGACTGTGTTGGACATAAGGGAAACTTCCAGTAGCTTCCCACAGAATCCACCCCTGTAGCCCCCTGCTACCAAAACTTTGACATGCAAGCCCAGCACAGGGGCAAAAACCCAAATTAGCAGAGCTACTCCTATATTAAAAAGGATTTGATTATTGTGGTTTGATCTAGGCTGGTGGTTTTTGTGTTTTGCATCTGGAAATAACAAATGTGTTTTTCATCCTTTCACTCTCGGGATGGAACTATGCAGTTGGTTACGTCACATGTCTGTAAGCCTTCTCCCTGTTCCTATGGGCTGGTTGAAAAAATAATGAAATGACTTGGAATTAGCTACATTTTCAGCCTTAAGTAATCCAGCATTCCATTGTTAGTGCTGTTCTTTCACATGGGGAAGTTACGTTATTAGAAAATTGGTCTTTCACTTGAAACCAGGGGTTTGGTTTAACTCTTAAGAGCTGACATGATTACAGACCCAGAAATCAACAGATAAAACCCCTGAATGATGCAGTCAGTAAGTAAATTGTTGCAATAAACGTGTGAATGTAGCCCTCAATGGCTATTGCTCAGGAAGTCTTCATTGTGGGTCTGCTGGAATGGCCAAGTGAAAAGACCAGGTCTCAGTAGTGTCATAATCTTGGGGTGCATGGAAGAAGGAAGTTCTGTACACCTGTCAGCAATAAATGTGTCCTTGGACCTTTGACCTCATTCTTTCTAGCACTTCATGTCCTTAGAACCTGGTGGTTTTATATTTTATTCTGAGCCTTATAGTGCTCACTAAAATGGGTTGTTAAGTCTTGACTTTGTTCTGTTTCAGTCCCTTTACAAGTCCTAGTGCAGTGGCATCCAGCCTTTCATTAGGGTTTTAGGTACAACCATAAAGAAAAAAATACAGTATCTGATAGGAATAGCTTACTTTTTCCAGCTGATGGTTGTTAGAGCCTCTTTAGGTGGAGGTTTGAGATTCTATATTTTTGCCTTTTGTTTATGTTTTGATTTGGAGATTAAATGCTCAGGATGGTCATTGAATTTCTGGAGAAACAAGTCCTAGAAATATCTTTTGTCAGTCCGATGTATGGATCTAATAAAAGCCTTAAAGATTTTATGTTGGCTCTCCAGTTCCAGTATTCCTTCATGGACGTTTGCCTGTCAGTTGTGAGAGGTGAAGTTGATTTAATACAAGAGAAAAGCATAATAATTTTGTCTGTTTCATGTAAATACATTTTAACATTCCGCTGTGGTTGTTTTCATGGGGGGCAGCTTGAGAAGGCAGTGTTCTCCTGATCTCTGCTAACTGATGTGCACAAAATCTGACTAACCTGCAGTTGAAGTGAAGGAACAGAAAAACTAATCTGGAAGCAGCCTTTGTGAAGAAGGAAAGAGAGTTTTGTGTGTGAAAACCACAGTTATAATGCCATAAAGAAGGCTGGTGATTTCTCTCTTAGTTCTCTTGGCAGCAGCAAAAGCAAGAGTGAGGAAGGTTTATTTTTCCACAGTGTTGTACAGATGGAAGAGGATCAGAGCACTTCTGCATTTTTGTTGCTGGGAGAAAAAAAAAAGTGAGTTTTTGTTGCATTCCCTGTTTTTTGTTTCCCCAACCAACTTGCAACATTACAGTTTCACTGCTTGTAACTGTTTTTACTTCACTTCTGTTCTTTAGAGGGTGCAAGCTGCCGTGAAGCTGACGGACCCCTACACAGTCAAATGCCGAGCTTTTGTTGCTTTATGTGCTCCGGGCAGATGTTAAGCCAGGCATTAAACAACTGAACTTTCGGAAGATCCAGTTCTGAATCTCTGCCTTAGATGACTGAGCTGGTTTTATTTGGGACAGAGTTAATTTTCCTCACAGTAGCTAGTCTGAGGCCATGTTTTGGTTGTGCTGAGAATATTGGTAACATACTAATGTTTGTAGTTGTTGCTAAGCAATATCAACTCAAGGACTTTTTCAGTTTCTGATACTGCGCCTGTGATCCCAGTGCCTGTCCCACGGGTTGGAGTAGCTGCAGTGCTTGTTGCCTTGTCATCGGATCCAGAGACCCTCTCTTCCCCTTGAGGGTACTGAACAGTGTTCAACAGGGCTCGGTAGGCGTGAACCAGATACTGAGCAACACAGTGAAATTTAGGATGTTCATCAGACTGGAACTTGGAGTATTCTGGATAATGGCAGTAATCTATTCTTTTCAAGTGCCCTGGGCTTTGTTGTCAACTTGCTGTGTGTTGTCTCTTCTGGGTCTCAAAATTTAAGTACTGCTGGTGCATCTGTCAACTGCACAGGGAAAATAATTTTCTTTCGTTTCAAAAATCTCGGTATTTGTAACACAATACACCTCTGCAGTCATTCTTCAAAACAAGGTGGGCATGTATCTTAAACGCAAAGTCATAGGCAAGTACAGAAAAGGGAAGGGAGTTACAGAGGTCAGATGGTTTGTCTATCTTTCCCAGGTCACTTCTATCAAACAGTTTCCTCTCCTGCTTCGCAAGGGTCCTTCCGCAATGGATATTTCAGTCTCCCCAGTCAATTTACAGTGCCTCACTGTTGTTTTACTAGAGTTTAACCTTATTACCATGCTGCAGTCTAACCCTGTTTTGATTTATCTGAGCCATGCTGAACAGGGAGAACAAATTACTTCTCTTTTCATTTGGCAGCATTTAAAGGATTTGAAGATGTGTTGTCTTAACTTCTTAAACACATCAATTCTGGTCTTTCAGTTTCCTCTTGTAAGTCTTATTTACCAGGTCTGTAAAAATTCTCACTGCTCTTTTTTGCATACGGTTTCATTTATCTCTCTTTCATAGAATCACAGAATAGTTTGGGTTGGAAGGGACCTTAAAGATCATCTAGTCCCACCCCCCTGCCATGGGCAGGGACACCTTCCACTAGACCAGGTTGCTCAAAGCCTCATCCAGCCTGGCCTTGGACACTTCCAGGGATGGGGCATTCACAGCTGCTCTGGGCAACCTGTTCCAGTGCTTCACCACCCTCTCCAGGAAGAACTTCCTGATACCCAGTCTAAATATTTTCATTTTTTGTCCTGACGCATACAACTTGAATTTGAAAGAGACACAAACATGCTTTTAAAGATAAAAGTTTTTGAATGGTCAAGTATTTGATACTATCTGAGAAGTACTATGTATGCTATTTAATTTCTTTCTAAAGTCTCTCAGGAAACTCATTTAACTTAATTTGCATCCTTGACACCTGCTTTCCAGTGTAAGTGGCTTTTCTCCAGAATCGTGTCAGATCTTTTTTGGAGTCACTGCCTGTCTCTCTCAGGTAAGAAGTGAACCTATTTCAGTATACACCAGAGTACAATGCGTGTGCAGTGCTTTGGGGTTTTGTTTGGGTTTTTTTTTTGAGGAGAGATAGGAGTTTTTCTGTTGGACTTTGACTTTTTTTCCTGTATCTTAGGTGAGTTATCGCCTAAACCAAGTTTTTCACTGACAATAAGGACATGGACATTTCAAACTGTGACACTCAATCAGTAATTTATCTTGTGTTCAGCTATATGGTGACTCTAAAATGCAGAGGACACTAGACTATAAAGGCTTTATTCCAATCTTATGATTTCTGCATTAACACAATATTCAGTCAATGTGTTTTACCTGCTTATGCACTGAAACCTTAACAGAGGTGCCACTGAGTAAAGTAAATGCAGTGTTCGTAGCCAGCTCTGTAGCTCTGTGAGCAGCTTGTTGGTGACCAGTGTGCGTGTGTGCAGACAGGCAGGATAAGGCCCTAGGTGCTAATGGGATTTATGTGTATACGTGCTTTAGACTTTTTAACAATTTATTCCTGTAAAAGGGTCACCGATTCTGAATGGTAATAGCTTAAATACACGTGGCTTGGAGGGGGACACTGCTGCAACAGAAATTCTTAGAAATAAACACTTTGTGTGTTTACACACAGGCTATTAGTTAGGTATGCTTGTTAAAATTGTGTCTAATGAATTTAAACAGGTCGTCTAAGATAAATAATTCTTGTTTGCTTGATCACTAACTTTTTTTCTTGTGGGTCTTGATATATTAGTGTTGAGTTTTAGAGGATTGAAGAATGTTCTATTTTTTCTGTACAGGTTAAAAATGATTGTTTAATGTATTTTCTTATTGGGTCTCTTTGTCACCCTTTTTTTTCTCTGTAACTTTCATGTTAATTTGGTATTTAAAAGTGATAGGTAATACTTTAGCCAGACTTGTAAATGGCATGTCAGGGCTTGTACTAAAATTCTTCAAGCAGAAGGCAGGTGGTTGCATGGAACTAAAAGGCTTATTTACCTTCCATTTAGGTTTCATCTGAAGACCGAAGTACGCTGTGGGCTTTGATTACTTTTTATGGAGGGAACTGCCAACTGAGCCTCAATAATAAGTGTACTCATTTGATTGTGCCTGAGCCAAAGGGGGTAAGGGTTTATTACGTGTACAATTCTTCTTGTTGTAGCTCTCATTTGCTTTTGAATAATCATGAATTTTCCATTTACCTGAAGTTCAGACTCTTAAGACTGTTAGTCTTGAACAGCTAAATTCAACACAACTATGCACTGCAGCTATTCAGTTCATATCTATTTTCTGCATAGCTTTAAGCCTCATTATTTCAAAAGATGTCCAGTTTCATAGCGGTATGAGTATTTCTGGTTGAATAAAGCATTTTATTCTTTATTCTGTTGGTCATAACATAATTTTGACATGTCATAATCATTAGTGATTGTGCTTTGTAAATCTGCAGATGCAGAATCAATGAAGACAAATGAAGGACAAAACTGAGTTGTGTAAAATGCCCTTGGATGTTATGAGGGAGAGAGGAATAAAGGGAGCAGGAGGAGGAACAGGTCATTTCCTTTTTCTTTTGATTTTTCTTAAGGGAAAAAGAACTCTCAAAATCCTTCAAGTAGTTCCTCTTAAAAGAGAGATGGTAGGTTAAGCAGTACACAGCATTTCCTGTCCAACTGCTGATAAAGCACTCATACGCCCAGCGTAGAATCACAGTATCTCAAGTTGGAAGTGACCCGTAAGGATCATCGAGTCCAACTCTCTGCTCCTCACAGGACTACCTAAAACTAAGCCATATGACTAAGAGTGTTGTCCGGACGCTCCTTGAACTCTGACAGGCTTGGTGCCATGACCATTTCCATGGGAAGCCTGTTCCAGTGACTGACCACCCTCGCAGTGCAAAGAACCTTTTCCTTATGTCCAGTCTGAACTGCCCCTGATGCAGCTTCGTTCCCTTTCCTCATGTCCTGTTGTTGCTCACCAGAGAGAGGGGATCAGCGCACACCCCACCTTCTTCCCCCCCGCCTGCTGCTCTTGAGGAAGGTGTTGACAGCAGTGAAGTCACCCCTCAGCCTTCTCTTCCCCAGGCTGAACATGCCAAGTGACCTCAGCCGCTCCCCATAAGTCTTGCCCTCTAGGCCTTTCACCATCTTGGCTGCCTTCCTCTGGCATTTGATGTCCTCCTTCTATCAAGCCGCCCAAAACTGCACACATTACTCGAGGTGGGGCTGCAGCAGTGCAGTGTGGGACAGTCCTCTCCCTTTACCAACTACCTGTGTTGTGCTTGATGTACCCCAGGGCACGTTTGGCCCTTTTGTCTGCCAGGGCACACTGTTAAGTCATATTCAACTTACCATTAACCCAAACTTCCACATCTGTTTCCGTGGGGCTGCTCATCCCCCAGTTTGTACGTATAACCAGGATTGCCCCATCCCAGGTGCAGAATCAGGCACTTGCTCTTGTTGTTAAATTTCTTATGGTTGGTGATTGCCCAGCTCTCTCGTCTATCCAAATCTCTCTGTAAGGCCTCTCTACCCTCAAGGGAGTCCACAACTCCTCCTAATTTAGTATCATTTTTAGTACATCTGTCTATGCAAATGGAGAAACTGGATCAGAAGATTAGGTAGCTGGCTACACGCAGCCTTGAGCACATTGAATAGCCTCCTCTATTGCTTATAATGGTTATAATTGTTCACTGAAACTTCATGAAGTGGTCAGGTACTCCTCTTCCCGCGGAAGAATTACATTTGTAATTGATTGTGTTTGTTCAGAGACTGAAAATACTTAAACAAATTGAAGCTCACTTAAAAACGATTGCTTGGATGCTTATAGTTAATGTGGTGGATGAAGCAAATTTGGGGTTTTGTGTTTGTGTGGTTTGTTTTTTGTCCTTTAGTTACATGAGTACATTGCTGTCACCATGTTTTTTAATTCCCAAGCAGTGGGAGGAGTCACGTAGGTTAGTTATTGAAATGTGAGTAACTCAAAGATCAGGTTCTATAGACTAACTCCTTACATAAATCTGTAGAACTTTGTCAAGTTTCTAATACTCTTTTATACATACTGATTACATTATTGTGTCACCAATGACCCTACTAATATTTTGGAGTTAATGTAAACTATCTAATACTGAGATGGAGAAAAACATGTGGCTAGTGGGATGACAACAAACTTACTTGTGCAATACATAAGAAAGTGCTTTAGGCTAAAACATGGGCTGGGATGTGGGAAATGCTTGCTTTTTCTTCCCTGCTTCATTTAAAACTATAAGAAACTTTGTAGGGTTGTTTTTGGCAGTGAGGGGAGGAGGTGCTTTTTTAGATGCACGATATTTCTTCTGTGACAGAGTTACAAGGCTGTACCTAATACTACCCTAGTTTTCTTCTCCGTCTCAACAAAATGTGGTGCTTGGACAAAGAGCCTTGTTACCTAAAATGCTGAGGTAATTAAAACTATTAAGAGGCAATGATATACATATAAGAAGTGTTGCCTTGAATCATAAGCTTTTTAGAACAAAGGATGTTGTCCTGAACTTCCCAGTCACGAAACTAAAAAAACTACATTAACATATCTGTAGGATAAAATAGGTACCTTGTTTAATTTACCTAACCACTGAATGGGAACAGTTTTATAGGATGATTACTTAAAATGCTTCTGGTCCTGCTGCTCTGACATACTACTAGAAGAGAATCTGCAGCTGTTTGTAACAAGAACAGTTTTGACACTAGTGAAAACTTAAATGGTTGCTTTGACTAGACACAAGATGATAAAACAAGATTCCTAATAATTCTCACCACAAAGAAAGAATGAAAACTCATATCTGCAAATAAACTTGGTTTCATCTGTATGTAATATCTTCATTGGGTATGAATGACAGTTTCATTGTAGAAAATAACTCTAGAGAATCATTAAATTAAATTAATTTCCTCTGAATGTGCTGGTTGTTAATTTATATTGTTTGACATACAAAGAAAATCCCAGTGCAATTACTTCTAAATATTGGATCCTGACGTTAGTTTGAAATATTCTAAAGAAAGTTTTTCTTTTGTTTTTCCCACTGTTTTGATGTTTGTGAAGGGTTTCCATTAAAGAGGATGTTTGAATAAATAGAGTACTGATCCTGTGTCTACTTTTATGTCTTAGGGAAGAAAACAGTGAAGTTTTACTGTATGTATCTTCAAATGATGAAATGATAAGGAAGGAGGGAGGGATAAAGATTCCTGCTTTGTCAGCATCATAACCTCCTGAAAAAAAAATGGATTTAGCTAATGTGTGGACAGAAGCTTAGCTTTCAGGGTGGGGGGAACATTGCAGTTTGCAGCTTCTGAGGAAGTGTATGGGAAATATCCAGCTGACTTAGGATTTGTATTCCTGCTCAAATGCCTTTTTTTTTTTTTTTTCCCCCAGTGATCACCATGTAAATATTTGTCTCTGCTTTACTGTGAAGTTCTGATTTTTCCCTAATTTTTTTTATTTTAATTTTTTTTAGTGGAGAAAATCTAAGTGTAAACTGTATTTAGATTCTCCTTAATGTCCAGCTAAAAATCAGCTATGTTTTAGTATTGGCTGCGATGTTCCTAGCTGCTGGAGTTCTGAAGGCTTTTTCAGAACTGTATTTCATGAGTTGCAAATCCTTCGGTGATTGGCTTTGAGAAGAATTTGGGTAGTGGTGTTTTTGCAAGTGAAGACTTAATCCTCTGCAGTTGTACCCTCCGAGTTCTTTATATTGCAGATGCGGAGGGTTTTGTTTTAACCTCTTGGAACTTGTAGTTACACACAGCAGTGGGGTTTGTCCTGTTGGTTCTGGGAAAGATCATTTTCTCTAACTGGACAGTTCTTGTGATCTGCCTCCCCGTGTTCTTGCCCAGCCCTCAAAAATATTATTTGGGATTTTTTGTCTTTAAATAATATTTTTTTTTTCCCCCACCCCAGGAAAAATATGAATGTGCTTGTAAACGGGACAGCATTAAAATTGTGACACCAGACTGGGTAGTGGATTCTGTAGCTGATAAGACCAAAAAAGAAGAGACTCCTTATCATCCTCGATTAATTATATACGAGGAGGAAGAAGAGGAGGAGGAGGAAGAGGAGGAAGAAGCAGAAAATGAAGAACAAGATTCTCAAAATGAAGCTAGTACTGATGAAAAACTATCAAGCCCAGCATCTTCTCGAGAAGGGTCACCTTTGGGTGATCAAGGTTTTTCACCAAAATCTACTACTGCTGATAAGGCAAAAGGGGAACTGATGTTTGATGATTCTTCAGATTCCTCTCCAGAAAAGCAAGAAAGGAACTTGAATTGGACACCAGCAGAAGTCCCACAGGCATCTGCAGCAAAGCGTAGGTTGCCTCAAGGGAAGGACTCTGGGTTAATTAATTTATGTGCCAATGTCCCACCAGTGCCAGGTAATATTTTGCCTCCAGATATGAGAGGCAACCTAATGGCTTCAGTCCAAGGTGCCCAAAGTTCTGACCGACAGGAGATGATGGCTACGTGGAGTCCAGCAGTGCGCACGTTAAGGAATATTACTAATAGTGCTGATATTCAGCAGATTAATAGACCATCAAATGTAGCACATGTAAGTGTTGGATTTTTAATTTATAAGATACTGGACTTTTTCCTTAGGATCTGTCGTATCCAAGAACTGCAATTTCCTTTTATCGTGGTCTAAATGTACAATGGATTAGAAGTTCCACGTATTACTTAGAAGTTGTGGCCAAATTATAACCTCCCTGTAATAAGTAACTTCCTTCCTAACAGGTTCACGGAAGAATGCATTCGGAAAAAATGTTTGGAAGAGTAAAGCTGTGTTTAACTACAGCTTGGTTTAGCATTTCATAGTGTTTCAGTATTGATTTCTTGGTAAGAGCAAAAGAAATATTCATTAATTTAAAATTATTTGAGTAGTTCAGGAAACCTGATTTCATACCCTTCAAGCTTTTATTCAGTGCAAGGAATTATTTGTGCTATAGACACATAGAAGTGTGAAACTGGTTGTTCTCACAGTAGGTTCAGTTCTATACAATGTTGTTCTGCTGTGCATCATTAAGTTGTTATATAGTATAGTCAGGATTATGATGCAGAAGCCTTAACTTACAAGTTCTACGCCACTCGTATGGTTGACATAATTGCAGCTTTTGTATTGAATTTATTTTTAGAAGAAAACATAGCGAGTGAGCACGCACTGAAATGACTTGCAGCATTGAAATTCTAAGATGTTCATGGGAAGGCAATGTGAGAAAAGCAGGTGCTGGTAAATGTTAGACATACCTTTTACTTGAATAATTGTACTGGTGCATTTATTTGGATGTTCATCTGAAGGTAAAACTCTCAAAGGTGCCTGAATAATATAGAAGCCCACAGCTAGTACCTAAAAAGTGGAGTCACTCAGAAACGTTGGTTCTTTGTTGTCTGTATGACTTCTGAAAATGAAATGGAAATGTAGACTTCCTTTTAAAACTGAGTCTTAGATTCTTCTTCACGGTGCCTTGAATTGTGTAAGGACTGAGATGCCTGGGTAAGGACTGAGCAGAACAGCCAAAGTCCTGGTCGCTTGGCTAGTGCTGGTAAGTTGGCAGATGCTTCCTTGTCTGAACACCACTGCTACCAGTCATTGTACTGTCAACTACTCCGTAGTGGTGTCCCCGTGGAAGTATTTTTCTGTAGGTGATACTTACAGAGCTGCTGGGCACCTGATGGTATCGTGCTTCAGCTAGACTTCACTCTCCAAAAGTGCTAGGCTCGGGACCTGACGATGGTGTGCAAGGACTGTTCTCAACGTACCTTTTCAGGCTGCTGTGTAGGTTGCTGTGCTAGCACAGGCACACGGAGAAAAGCTTTGCATCTTAGAGTTGTGAATCTGCTTCCTAGAGTGAGGAATACCAGTTCTGCCTTTTGCCTTATAACTTCCCTCTGGCTAGGTTAAATTGTATGTTTTATCTTTCTTTGGGTACCAGTCTTGTGTGGATTCCACATCTTGGTGCACAATCTTGGAATGTTAATGTTTAATTTGATCCTCAGATTTCTGCTCAATGTCAAGATCCGTAATAATAAGGCATTTTGCAGTTACAAAGTGGCTTTCTGAATATAGCCGTAGCATACTTCTGAAAGTTTTATCCCTCTCTTTCAAAATACATGTCCTGAAGCTTCTGTAATTTTGACTTTTGGGACTTTTTGTGGAGAGCATCATGAAGATCTCTCCTCATACTGAGCCACGGAAACATTCTTTTTTGTATGTTATTTTTAGTTCCTGAATGTTTATGCTGTGGTGCTTTCTAGACACTAGCAATGGGTGATGCATTAATACCTGCGGTTGTGAATGTCTGCTATACCAACAACATCAACATTACTTAGGTGGAGCCTGAGTTGTTTTGAAGTGCATTGTATAAAAAACCTGAGCCACCTGTGAAGAGTTGCTGGACATCTGCTTGAGAGGAAACAGTTAATTTGCTTTGTGTTTTAGTGATGTGCTTTGATTCCTCTCTCACACACACACACATCACTGAGTTTACACTGTATGTGATGAAATAGTGTGGGTGAGGGAAAGAAGCTTTGCAGGATTTAGCAAAGCTGATTTTATGTTTAAAAGACTTCATGAATGGCAAGTCTAGAGTTTCCTATTGCTCTTTCTGGTTTTTAATAGGTAGCTTATATTAAAATATTTAATAAATATGCAGAACTCATGCCAATCTATTAGGAATTTGCCTAATTTTCCCTTTTTTATGCTTTAAAAACTCACTTGCTAACTTGTTTCTGCTTAAGGTGAAATGATTATTCCTTTAACAGGGAGTTACACATCTAAAATTGAAATTAAACTCCAGGTTACTTTAGCTCTCTGTTTAAACCTAAAGTCTATTATTCTGCAGTGTGGGTTGGTTAGGGTGTTTTTTTTTTTCCCTGAGGAATGATTAGTGCTCAGCAGATAAATATTTTTCTTTGCTTCTTGGGATTCAGTTTAAAAAATAGAGCTAAATATGCCTGAATTGGTTCAAAAGGAAGCACGTTGTATTAAATTCCCATGTTTCAAACAGCACTAATTAGTAGCAGCACTATTACCAATTTTTAAGTTAAAGAAAACAAGACAGTGGAACTAAACTTTGAACTTAATGGGCCAGCAGAATTATAAATTTAGTATTACAGTTGATTGAGTTGATCAGTGTAATTCTTAACATACTATTAATAGTCAAATGCTCTTGGAGATATCATCAGTAATACAGGGATGGGGTTTAATCTTAAATTTTGCTAAAATGTGTATTGCTTTAGATTAGGAGCCACATGTAGCTCCACTCTTTTCTGTGTGTAAGTTCTGTCTTTTCGTTTCGCTATTAACAGTTAAAGATTTTTGGTTAGCTCAGATTTTATTTAGGCTTCTTTTCTTTCGAGATTTGTCTCTTCCCGGTAGTTCTTTAAGTATTTTTAAAACTGAATGACAACAAAAAGGTCACAAAACTAATCTTTGTTTTCTAGATATTACAATCACTTTCAGCACCTACAAAAAGTTTAGAACAACAAGTAAATCATAGCCAACAGGGACATCCAAATGCGGTGCTGTTTAGTCAAGTGAAACTAACATCAGAGACACATTTATTACAGCAGTCACATCAAGCACAGCAACAGCAGCAGCACCATCCTCTTTTACACCTTCAACCTCAACAACTCATGCAGCTACAACAGCAGCAGCAACCCCAGATATCCCAGCAGTCTTTCCAACAGCAACAGCCTCATCAGTTTTCACAGCAGCAGCAAGTTCATCAGCAGCACCAGTTTGCACAACAGCAGCTTCAGTTTCCACAGCAGCAGTTACATGCGCAACAGCAGCTACACCGTCCTCAGCAACAGCTCCAGTTCCAGCAGCAGCATGCTTTGCAACAGCAGCTTCATCAGCTGCAGCAGCAGCAGCTGCAGCAGCAACAGTTGCAGCAGCTACAGCAACAGAATCTGCAGCAACAGCAGCTGCAACATCAGCAGCAACAAATACAGCAGCAGCACTTGCAGCAGCAGCACTTGCAGCGATTACATCAACAGCATCAGCAACAGCAAATGCAGAATCAGGCAGCGCAGCACTTAACTCAGACATCTCAAGCACTACAGCATCAAGTTGCAGCCCAGCAGCCACAACACCACCAGCAGCAACAGCAACAACTGCAACAGCAGCCACTTTTTGGACACGACCCAGCAGCAGAGAGTTAGTAATTATTGCCTTCTGATCCTGGAAAAAAATGGCTAATGATGTGACATAATGTGGGTTAGAATATCAAAAAAATAACTCCGTGTTTACAGTATGGGATTGTAAGACTTAGAAACATCATTCATGGCTCAGGACCCATTTCACTAAATTTTAGGCAAACATATTCAGATATAACTAAGGATGATCCAGAAATCTGAAAAGCCTGAAAGAATGGAGAACTTTCTCTTTTCAAATAGGTACTTTATGCCACTAGCATATAAATTCTGCAGTGAGAACAGCATTACTCTGTGCATGCCATAAAACTGAAGGCTTTCTGATTGTTTTGACTCTTCATAGCTGATCTGTATAAAGGAGCAAGTTGTTGTCTTGTTTTTTCCTTTCAGTGCCCCTTCCTTCTACCACTTTAGCTGTCCCTCCCTCCAGAAAAAAACCCACCCAGAACAGAAACAAACTCTGGGCTGAACTGTGCCTTTAGATGTGGCTGTCAGCTTTGAAATTTTGGATCTTAATTTTTCCAAGAAAGATTTGCTTCACAACTGGATGAAGTTTATAGTGTGGTAATAGGAAAGATTAGTGTAGGAAATAAGTTCTGAGATGACCTCTTGAGGCTTATAAGTATTTACGTTTTTCTTCTTTTATGTGCCAAACTCTTTCAGTTCCAGAAGATTCTTTCCTCCTGGGCTGTGTCTTTGCCATTGCTGATTACCCAGAACAGATGTCTGACAAACAGCTGTTGGCAACCTGGAAACGGGTAAGGTTCTGCTCTATTTTTAAGATACTCTGATAACATAATGTCATAGTAACTAAATCCTAAAAGAAATAATTGGAAGTATTTCAGCACTGTTCACTTTTCTTTTGGCATCCTTTTGTGCAATGTTTGCGTTACAACCTAAACTCCATGATTCAACTGCAGCTGACCAGAAAAAGTAGTAACAATGCTTTAGATGTGCAGCCTGGTTGAATAAAGACTTTAGTCAGAACATTGGCTAAATAAGTTGTAGCCTTAACTATTTCCTGACTATTGATGGTTTTAATCAGGCAGCTATGGTGCAGCAAATGTAATACTGCATTGCTCTCTAACTCGGCTGTATAAAAGGAGTCTTTTTTTGCATACAGTTTTGGCAGTTAGTAGCCAGTGAGGTATCCACTTGAGTGAATACAATGGAGGAATAGAGTGTTTCTATTTTTTGCCAACTTCTATTTTTCAGAAAAATCTGATTGTATCCTTTCCTAAATGAGAGGACTTTGATGTTCTTCAGAAACTTCTGATGGATTTTATAGTTGAATTTTCCCTACCATTTTGCATAATCAAGTAAGCTGTTGACATTTTTAACAGCTCTTGTTTTTATTGATGAGATAGAATTGAATAGTTCATGAAAAAAATGTGTAATAGCTGTACTGCAAAACTAAACATGAGAAGGGTTGTTTTTGTTTATATCTTTATTTGTTTGCTTTTTTTTTAATGGATTCTAAAAGAATAGACTTTTTGTAGCTCAGTGAAAAGGTGCATATTTAATTTTGTTTTCTCTGTGGTGTGGGGTTTTTTTTCCAAAATATTTTTAAGCTAGATAACGAAACTTTCGGGGGGTGGTAATGCTTCAGTAAAACGGTGCTAATGGTGTCAGTGTCCTAAAGAGTAGACTTTAATTTAAGACTGTTTGTTTCTTAGGGTAATTTAAAAATCGATACATATATTAGAATTTCTGGGTTTGCTCTCTTACCAGATCATTCAAGCACACGGTGGGACAGTGGACCCAACCCTTACAAGCAGGTGTACGCATCTTCTTTGTGAAAGTCAAGTCAGTAACATGTATGCTCAGGTAAGCAAGCCAGTGACATGTATTCATGCATGCTTTCACTTTGTTCCCAGAAAGGCAGGGCTTTTCAGTATGTACATCATGCTTAGACTGTAACTGTAAGATAGAAGTTTTTCATGATGTGCTTTTTTTTTATGATTCATGGTATGACAATGTCATAACTCCTTGTCGTGGTTTAACTCTGGCTAGCAAATTACCATGAAGCCGCTCTCACAAATCCCCCTCCCCTCCTCCAGCAGAGGGGAAGAATGAGAAGAAAAAGAAATAGGGAAGCTCGTAA